TACCAGTAGGCCGAAATAGTCGGGGAGTCTTGAGGTTGGGATCGAAAGTAAAGTGGTGATTATTGTTTCTAGATTATTTCTGTTGTAAATGTATACCGTAGAGCCAAAAAATGTAAATATGGCGGCATGGTTTTTAAGTTTAGCAGCAATTTGTAAGCATGGCGAGCACTAAGTCTTTTGGACATGTTGGAGAGCACTGGTTTCATGTGTGGCACCTCAGGGTCTGGAAGTTTACCGTGCACATCGAAGCCCTGCACATGACGCATCTACAAGGGTGCAAATGTTTCTATTTCTGTTGACATGTGGTACACCGCACAAGACAAAGTTGAGGATTTTTTCCTCAAATATCTTGGTCCTTAACTTGTGGAATGTAATACCCATCAAGAAATGACGTCAGCATCATCAGATCAGCCAGTCTTAAGTGAATGTATCCCTCCTGATCTTCCAGGCCCCGCCCCTTCTAATTAGCCAGGCCCCTCTTTTTTGTTATCAGCTATTCCCCACCCCTACTGATTAGCCAGGCTATGTCCCTGTTGATCAGCCAGGCCTGTCTGGGAGACATTAATTAAAATGATGAATTTTTGAAGAATTTTGAAAACTGAAAATCTTGAAAATGTCCCGTATGTGTGCACTGCATTTTTCAAACCACCCAGCAGCAAGTGGTTAAGGCCTTTAATTTTAAAGTGATTGTTCGGACAAGAGTGAAATGTACATGGATGAGTGAAGTCTGTCAGTGAATCATCATCACAGAAGCCATTGTAATGTTTGCTTTTATTATCCGAACATGGAAAAAGAGAACTAAAGAACAGTTTTCAATGCGTGGTTATTAATTTATTGCACGTGTACATGTATATTAATGGACAGTCTCAGTTGTGAAGATTATTGGCTACTTGCTTTAAAGGGAGATGTCACTTTTGTTTTTGGGTTGTAATTTTACAAGGTTGGCTGATAATGGGGTATCATATTATTTACTGCAGCTTTTATTCCACTGACTTGTTTTATGTTTGAGTCAACTGCTTTGTGTAAAATAAAAAAAAAACAGAGCGGCATCTCTTCCGTAAAATCTATGAATCTATCTTTATGAGAATTTTTGGGGTAATGGGCTTCCACGGCAATGTATCATCACCAACCACTTATGTTGGCAGTTCCAAGCTCAGATTAGCATAATAGCCGACCATTTTAATGAGCATGCCCTTCCAATTGCGGATTGGCTGGACTCTCCGGTACACACAGGTCATGGAATCAGCAAATTCCAATTGCGGACTATCCTGTTGACATTGATATTTAAATGACCTGACCTAAATTTGGGTTTGCGGATTAACATACACCATTCTTGCCTCGTACTGTCGTTGTTGTCAAGTGCTCTTTTGTTTAAGAAAGTTCGCGGACTCCAGCAGGAAGAACGGTCATGCCTTACCAGTAAGCCCCCTAAAACGGAATGAACTGTTCAGCCGACCATTGCAAAAAGAAGAAAAAATTTCTGTTTTCCCGAGAACTACAGCATCCTTGGCAGAAATATTTTACAGACTGACTGAGGCTATAATGTACTTTTACTTTCTTTCAAGTAAGAATTCCAGGATTATGTAGCAGTACTATTCTGGGGATTTTACCAATGATGTCACCTACATTTAACAGTAATAATCCAATAGCCTTTGTGTGCCATTATGGTAGTGATCTCTAATTGTATGTATGCATTTCTTTCACTGATTGAATGGAATGTTCTACTTTGTTCCAGGGTTTTTTCCTCAGAGCTTTCAGATTTGCCCCAATTTCTTGCGGCACAAGATGACTTTAATATCACCACAGATACTGAAGAAATACTCCATCCCATATGACAAGGTTTGTTTTATTGTGTTGATTGTAAAAATTGAACAGAAAAAAAACCCTGCAGATATATGTACCTGGCAAACAATGGTACTGTTTCAAAACAAGGACAAAGTTAGAGAAAGTTCCAATTTCTGGCACCCCAGCCATGAAACACTGCATTGTGTTTCTGTTACTAGGCACCCTGGTCATTTGAAGCAAGATATGGGATGGAGAGAACCCCCCCGCCTTTGTGTTAGTCATTGTTTGAATCGGAATCTCAGGAATTCTTTACAGACTTCTGGGGGGATGTGTTAGGTAACAATAGTCTGCAGTGTGTATAGGGATTGGACAGGTAAGGGGGGTTACCCCTCCGTCCCATATCTTGCCTGGTATAACCCTGGTTGCAAGTGGTTAAGGTGTTTGTTTTTGATTTTTGTTTTATTTTCATGTTATTTTTTATATAACTTGGATAGGAACAAGGACAAATGCATCCTAAAGCTGAGGCAAGCCTTGTTACTTCTTTGAATGTTCTTATGCCTTGAGTATTTGTACAGTGGGTATTCCATGATATGATGCTTGTGATGGCTGTATTCTTATATCATTCATATTGTTTGAGTAACCCGCATGTTGGTCTGTTCTTGCAATTCTTAGATCACACAAGAAACAGGAGAATTCATGGTTACCTTCCCTTATGGTTACCATGCTGGCTATAATCATGGCTACAACTGTGCAGAGTCTACCAACTTTGCTTCACTTCGCTGGATTGATTTTGGAAAGAGGGCAAAATGTGTATGTATATTTGTAAAAGCACTAGTTTCCCGTTTCTAGGAATTGTCAACAGCTGTAAATCAGATTATGCACTTCTTGTTGAAGATCTTTTGCCTTTTTATTCAAATTTACCATGTTGAACAACTAGTATTTAGAAGCATGACATTTTCAAGTTGTGGTGTTCACATCACAATCCTTTCCAACCCGACTCCCAAGGTATGCAGAAAACCTTAGTGAAAGCAGTAACACACGCATTGCACTTCATTCACTTTTGAAATATGCAAGATGCATCAGCTCTCTTTCAAAAACAGCCAAATGCTGACCCTTTGAAAGTGATTCATACAGTTTTCCTATGATTTTGTTTTTACTGTTACCTCATATTTTACCATACTTTTGGGCACTGCCACAGAGTGATACAGTGAGCCACATACATGTACAGTGATAAACTTTAGCACACAGTGCACCCTCACAGACTTCCTGCAGTTTGTACATGTATGTTTGTGGGTGGGA